AGGGCCATCGACACACACCAGCATCCTGCTGCCTATTATTTCCTGCCAGCGCTGGCGTCGCACCAAGCCCTAACATGACAGGTGGATGGAGTTCACAAGGAAACAATGTCATGGGCCAGTTTTCCAGGAAAGCTGTTAACTCTATTCACAAACTCGGGCCTTCAGATTGAAAGGGAATGTGGCTGAAAAGAGGTGGTGAAGGGCTGCTCTGGTGTTATTTACCTTTTTTTTTTTTTTTTTTTTTTTTGTCTTATTTTACCTCTTTACTTATTTACTTCTGTATTTGGTACAGTGATTATAATGCTTCTTCAAGAGTAGACTGTAGCTGGATGCCTTGTAACTTTAAAATCCATTTGCCTCTGCAAATCCCAAATGGCTATTTCAATTTCAACCACATTGCAAAAGATGGTAAGAAATTAAATTTCTGCCTTTTGCTGAGCTTACTGGTTCCTGAGGAACAGAAAATAAGAAATATGAGGTGAAATCTGAGACTGATGTTAACCTGGGACCTCATGTATTTTTTAAGAATGAAACTGAGGATACAGCCAATAAGACTTACATCTTTTTTAAAGTCTGTCTTCCAATAAGGCACTTGTGTAAAGCTCTACTATCTCTCCATGACTTTATGCAGTGGCCAACATCTGCTGTTGTGTGTTCTTTGCTTTCTTTCCTCTTTTCCTCTCTGCTTTTCATACTTTTGTCTCCTACTCTAGAAAGTACAGAAAAGTTAAGAAGTCAGAGAAATCAATCAAGAAAAAATGTTTTTCAAAATGCCATGTTTTCCACAAATGCTAATTTTTGGATGCAGTAGTTAGGACAATAGGACTCCAACTGGCTGCTCACAAAAGGAAGGATTAGATTCTCTGTCATGTTAATAGTGACATCAACAACCTGAATAAAAGCCAAAAATTCAAGTTGATTCTGCAGTTTAAGACCATTGTTCTCCCATATGGTTTAGCCTGTAAGATTTAGTCTACACACATAGTTTTGCTAGGATTTATATAATTTTTCACATAATAGAGTGCAATTCTTGATAGGTTAATGTACTCATGTGTAAAAGCCCTTTGTAACTGACAAAGCTGACAGAGCTAAAAGGTCATGCAATCTAAAGACATCAGAGGTACTGGAAATACATATGCAAAATTGTGGCTGACAATATTGCTCTGTTCTTACATTGCAGCCCATTGTAAAAACATATTTGGTGAAACCTGCTACTAATATGCAACAACCTCCATCTCAGATATTAAAGGAGTGGTAGCCCTGGTCTTTAACTCGGGACAAGAAAAGCTGAGGCAAGAATACAGGATATTCCAGAGGGCTTGATCCTGGCCTGACCCTTCCGGATTCTGATGAGACTCTCAAGCCTTTCTTCGTTCCATACTCTGAGCCTGGTTCCTATTCTGTAGAGCTGCAGTAATACTGTATGTTTGTTGTTTGGTAACAGGAGCTCTCCCAAGTGTCCAAGGCAGAGAAACTTAATTCTTGTCACAAGTCCACAGAACTAGCCTTTCTCTCTCTTTTCTGTTTTTTTAAACCTGGCAAATGATGGTATTAGAACCACAGTCATGTACAAAAAATGCCATGTTAAGTGACCAGGGAACCATAAATTGGGCATTTTGACTTGAAAAAATACTGAGCATTGTCATACCAAACTGATTATTATTTTAAAATACTATCCCAGGCTATAACTGGCTTTGTGTACAATAGCAATAGAGGGTGTAGTTACAGACACAATTTCCTGTGCTTAGGTTTTGAAATTATAATTTAAGATCCTCGTCACATTTGCCTGGTGCACCAGCACAATTTCCCTATTAGATAATTTGCTATACTTGTGAGGGCAGGTTTGCTTGCGCAGTCCTGCCAGAGCTTCCAGGAAGGGAGAGACAAGCAATTGTGACAATAACATTTGCATCAGCTCCCACCCAACCTCTCCCAGAACCAAAATGCCATTTGTTGCATTCAAAGCCTTTTCACACCAGAGGGAAGGTGTTTCTGAACTGGAAAGTCATTGTGATCTCCACGGGGTTGCATCCTCCAGGCTGACTTTTGCCTCCCAGGTTCCTATGAGAAACACCAAACAGCAATGGCTTGGTACCAAAGCCTTGGTGGATTGCATGACCCAGCATCCAGGCATGAAATTCCAAATCAATCCAGATTAGGTCATAGTGTTCAGAAGCTGAAGCAGAAATTTTGTTGTTTGTAGCTGACCAGTTTGAGGGGTTGAGCCTTGTAAAAGCATTGTAAATGTGACCTTGTAAAAAAACATTTTGGATTTAACAATATCTCCAGTTTCTGGAACAATTAAGGTGCTACACCTGCCACTGTATTCACATAGCACCTCTCCCAGAACTGTTTTTCTTAAGGGCTAAAAAGAAGATATTGTTCCTGTGTTGGAAGAAGGACAAGAGGCACAGGGACAGAGAGGATAATTATGAAAATGTCTGTAATGTGTGGATTTGCAGGAAGAAAAAACATAGATTGTGAGACTTGTGTTGGATCTCATAATTGGTCATTGAAAAAAAGATGTTACAGATACTTCAGATTGTCCCAAAATCAATGCACACAAGTCATGGTGGAGAAGTCTGTGCCAGTTTCTAAGGCCATGTGGCAATTTAGTGATGGAGCATCTGAAAACATCTTCAGCAGCATGAGGTCTCTGACTGAACTGTTCACTATGTCTGCCTTCCTCCTGCAGGACACCAGGTGCTGGGATTCTTCCCCAGAAAGTTACTATTTTGCGTCACTGAATAGAGGACAAAGAGTGAATTCCTGCATATATGTTCTCTAACTGGCTGATAGAAAGATGCTTGGGCACGTAGTACCTTGTCTCACTAGCATAAAACCGACGCTACTGAGCTCAGCAGCATGTGCTATGGCAGCCCCACACTGCCTGGAGGCCTCTCAACCTGTCAGTTAGTTGGTAGTACAGAACACCATGATGTATCTGAAGCTTTGCTATGCTGGGAATCATGAACAGGGTTATTGTGATGCTGTGTCACTGCTCACATGCTGCTTCATGCCTGAATGCCCCACAATTAGCTGTGCAGAGGGTGCTGCTGGCACTCTGCTGTGCCCTTGCATATGCAGTGAAAATATAAAAGAGAGCAGAGATAAGGAAAAGGAAATATCTTCCAGTAGTAGCAGAGTGACTCTTACTCACTCTTATTCACCCTTCCTGAAAAAAAAACTGCTTCCAAAAAACCTATTGCCTCCATTCCACTGAGTATGGCCTTTTCTTCTGACTTGGAGCAGAGCCTCACCTTGCACCTCTACCTTCCTGCCACACAGAAGCTCGACTGTATCACAGCAATGGCGAAGGGAGGACCCTCATGTGGGAATGACTTCTGGAGAGGGCAACAGGCTGCTTCTGCTCTGGACTCAGCCTGGGAATCATGGACTGAGCTCCTACACATGAGTAGTAGAAATCACTGCATCTTTACAGCCCTTGCAATTCTCTCCTTGGCAGCCTGCAAAATTACACTGAGGAAAAAGAAATGGGGAGGGGGAAGAAGGAGTTAGAAAAACTATTGTGTTCCCAGGGAAAAAAAAAATAAACAGTCCAATTTAGATTATTCAGCTTTGCTAATGTCAATCACTTTTCTCATTTTAAACAGGAAAGACACCGCTTTCATCCACCTGTTCCATTATTCATCATGCTATGCATTTCCCATGAATTGTCACTCATGCAAAACCTGTACATCGTAAGGGGACACCCTAATATTTTTAATGACCTTAAGCAAAGTGATTGACATTAGACACCGGTGTCAGATGTTCTGGTGACGCAACATGTTCTCCTAGCAGCAGGAGAGCTTCCTGCCGTGATTAAGTAGGGCTATGGAAGTGCTAAAATGTGTTGTCAGCTTTTCTCTGATGCAAGTGATTTTATTATAGCGTCTGGTAACCACGGAGTGTGGCAACGCAAATACTGACTCCAAACATCCCCTGCCATACATATAGCTTGCTCTATTTAAAACATGAAGTGTACTTTGCAAATCCAGCAATAAGTTATGGATGTAACAAGCTTAAGCTGTGGAGGGCAGAGGAAAAGGCGGCACCTAGCCCAGAATTCCTGGGTAATTCCAGCAGGAGAAGCACACGGCTCCATGATGACCTGCAGAAGGTTCTGCCCTGCAGCACCTGTTCCGCAGGTGGGGTCTGCAGCAGCAACTTGCCCATCAACATATAGATGAAGAGATAATGTCCTGGTTTGCTGCAATTTGGGATGAGCCCCTCAATTATTAAAGACCTCTAGAACACAAGAGTTACAGAATCGAGCATCTCAGACACACACCAGGGACACCTGGCACCTGCTTTTCATAAAGATTCATAATCCTAAAGCTCATTCAGCAAACACTTACTATGTAGATGACTTTGCTTCCACAAGTAATTAGTAATAGTTGTCTAAAACTGACTATGCTAGTAAGTGTCTGCAGAACTGAGGGTTACGGTTTTTCAATAACTGAGTTGTTAATCATGCTGGAAGAGGGATGGGCTATGAAACCAAAAGGCACAGTCTACAGAGATTTTTGGAAGAGATCAGTAGTACATATGTTCACAGTTATCTTCACAGGTGTTGTTCTACAAAAGTAGACTCATAAAGCAGTCAAAGTTGAAGATACAAGCTATCTTCATAGCAATTAAAAAAGATTTCCTAAAGGTCTAGCAGCACTGAATAGTATTTTAATGAAATTTCCTTTTTAGTTTTATAGTAAAATAATCAAAAGTGCCGAACTTGACCATGTTAATTTACAAAAAAAAAAAAAAAGCTTCCTGTTTTAAGCTACAATCATACCTCATTATTTAGGTTAGACAATATAATTATACATTTCTACCTATTTCAATAGTAAAACAAAATTAATTAGTTGGTTTAAAAAAAAGGGGAAAAGTACCACAGATATTGAGATGGCAAAGTTACACAAAGTATAAGAATCAGCTTATTAAGCAATCTGCAGTGTGTTTGGTTGTTGTTGCTTGCCTTTTTTTGTTCATTTTTTGAGCTGCAATTTAAGTTACAGACAATCTGGCCATAAGATTTTCAGTCACTTCAAATGCTATGACTTCTCCCCTTGGTCAAATGTCACAGTGTGTATTTTAAGGAGGTCTCTGGCATTTCAAGTCAATTCAAATTATTTTCTTAGTTCTCACAAGTTCTCCTTCCAACATGATCAGCATGTTGGAAAATGCAGTTATGATGATTGCAGTTCTGATGATACTGTTTTCTGTGAAGGAAAAGTGGTTTTTCCTCCGTCTTGGAAAGAATCACTAACAAGTCTCTAGTAAGAAAAGCATTAAGAGCACTTGAAGAGTTTTTAAGAGTATTTCTTATTCCATTCCATTTTCATTTCGGTTCATTTCCAAAGTTAAATTAAAACCTGCAATCTCTCCTACTGATAAATACTCAAGTTGACTCACAAAAGTTCTGTCTTCTGTCCAGCCTTCTCTTGGTTATCTTTAACCAAACAAGGTTCGCTGGTTTGCCACAAGCGCTGTTTGGCTCTCCCGCCTCTTTGCTTTCTTTTTTTGCTGCCTGATTTTCCAGCACACTGCACTAGAAGCCAGCAAAAGCAGTCCTGATGACAAGAGGACTAACCCAAAGACTGAGATGATTGATCCATGGGAATTGAAGCTGTATGCCACAGCAGTAACCACAATGCCAGCTATGAGGATAACCACACCGAAGGGAATGGTACAGCGGTAACAGGAGAGTTCTGCTCCCCCTGTTGCTGCAGTCAGCTGGCATTCGCTGACCAGAGGGATGGTGGTTATCACACAGTCATTGTTATTACCCTTCTCCGTGGTCATAGAATCAGGAAGCTTTGGAGCACCCAGGATCTCTTTAATAGGTTCGTTTGTCATCTTGATTGTCTTGACTCTGTCAGTCCTGAAGCTAGAGGAGGCTCTGCTGAACACACGCTGCGCTGTGGAGGAAAGAGCATGAGTTCAACTAAGAAGCATGACCGTTATGTGAGAAACGGGTGACACGGAAGTATCCCACTTGGGATCTCAGACAAGCAGACATTCTGACCCCGCAAGGATTTATGCACAAGCTTATTTGTAACCCTACTGATTGTGGTGGGTCTGATTCAATTGTTACAGTGGTCATCGGTATGTGTTTAAGTGCCAGAAAGAACAGAGTCTCAAACCAAGACAGACACCAACCTTAAAGTATTCTGGACCAAATCCCACAAGTTACATCCTAATGTCAGTATTTCTGGGTGCAATTTAGATCTTCTGACAAGGAGGTGAAGCTCACAGGCTGTTTTGATTAAAAATTCTACTGTCATTTAAGCACCTTTTCACACTGTTTCTTTATATATACACTTAGACACACACACATTGCCCAGATTTGCTGTAATACACATCACAGTAACATAGGCAAGAACTGGCCCAGCAAAAACAAGTGGCAATGGATGAAAACTGGAAGAGGGAAGCTTTAGGTTAGACATTAGGAGGAAATTCTTTAGAGTGAGGGTGGTGAGACACTGGAACAGGTTGCTCAGGGAAGTTGTGGATGCCCCCTCCCTGGAAGTATCCAAGGGCAGGTTGGATGGGGCTTGGAGCAACCTGGTCTAGTGGGAGCTGTCTCTGCCCATGCCGGGGGGTTGGATCTAGATTATCTTTAAGGTCCCTTACAACCCAAACCATTCTATGATCCTATTAAAAAAACAGGACTGAACAGTGAACTCTTTCTCAAGGCAAGCACTACTTAGTGAAAAAATAGTCATGATTAGGTACGGATGTGGGGGAAGAAAACAGGGATACAGACAGTTCCCTGCACTTGGCAAGTGCCAGCTGAAAGCTGGTCAACCAACTGTTACAGCAGCCTCAATGCCAGCCTGTCAGCTTGCCATTTAAATTGGCTTAATAAAAAAGGAAAGGGTCCCTTGTAACTCCATGAAACCATGTTACTGTGTGGGAGGGAGGTCTACAGTCATATTCACTCATTACCACAGGTTGCTTTCCTCCTGTCTCCATACCACACACACTCTCAGTCCTACAGACAGCATGTGCACTTTGATTGCATCTGTGTTAGGAGGCAAAATAGCATTTGGCTCCATAGAGCCCAGGACAGAACTGGAGTCGACCTGCTCAGGCCAAGATTACACTGTGGTTCTGCACTGCTCCATGCTGCCACGGCAGAACTCCACCATGTCACTGGGACTCTGCTGGTGTGCAGACTGTAGTGAACCTCTGACAGCTCTGAGGCTACCACTGCTGTGGACCAGGCTATGCACTCAGTGCACCCCACTACATATAACAGAGACTGAGACACTGGGGAACCACTGGGTTTTCTGACAGGGAGTAGCTCACTCCTCCACCATCCTCTGGTACGGGCTGTGTTGCTTTTGCTCCTATGAGCAGGATGGTATGCAGCTCAGAGAACAAGGAAGAGTGTTGGCAATGGACTAATGCTTTTATCACTTTTATCACCACATCTGTGACTAGGAAGTTAATTGCCAGATACTTGTATTCTCCTTTTCCTTTCCCACCACTCCCACCCTTGTTGCTAAGATATATTCGTCCGCTGTGGAGAGCCCTTGGGTTTGTATCTCAGTGCCTCATGTAGCACACTGTATTTTGTGAGAAAGAGGATTTCACTATTTTTAAACACACACACAGTGGCTATACTCAGAATCTACTCTGCGAGTTTGTATCCAGGTTTCCTTGAACCCTAATGAGAGAAGGAAAGCTCAGATCTGCTTTGACAAAGCCTTTGTTCTACTGCTGTAAGGGAGAACGCTCAGCTTGATACTGGAACTTGCTGTGTACAGCTACCTTCAGGGCTCAATCCTGCAAGCAGCTACAAGTCAGAGCAGCTTTTCCCTCCCTGAGGGCAATACTGAGCACAACACAACTGAGCGCATGCACTGACAACACAAGAGGCAGTGGGCACAAACTGAAGTACAGGAAGTTCTGGTTGAACATCAAGAAACATTTTTACTGTGAGTGTGCACCGGGACAGGTTGCCCAGGGAATTTCTGGAGTCTCCATCCTTGAAAATATTCAAAAGCCATCAAAACAGCCCTGGGCAGAATTCTTTAGATGACCCTGCTCTAGCAGGACACAGGATGGATCAGATGACCTTCAGAGGTCCTTTCCAACCACAACCATTCCATGATTCTCTGTGCTTCTGTGAAGGTACTTGGTATCTTCAAGGGCAGGCAGGGGATCTGATCACTGCTTATCAGACAAAGCAAATATGTCTGTGCTGACACTCTGGATATCCTAGGTTCTCCAAGTTTCTGTTGCTTTGCCCTTCAAATCCTAATGCATGATTTAAACGCTAGAGCCCCATCAATCTGTCCCCACATGGAGCTGAGCCCAAGTTCTCATTTCCAATACTGACTTACACGGCAGAAAGACTCACATTGGTGCCATTATTACGTTGCAGCATTACTTATCAATAAAATATTAGAGAAGTTCAACAAAATGGGAGAATGTGGCCTTCAAAAGCCACCATTTTTATTTTACTGTTAGAAAATTAAATTTGCTCAACATGTTATTATTAAGTTTGAGGAAGGAAAAAAATTAACCATTTTCCACATAAAAGGTATCTTAGTTCCAAATACATTGTAATAACTATTCAAAAGTCCAAATACTCTCTCTAACTGTCACAGAAATAGGGAAACTTCCCAATAAGGAAAGTTTGAAAAGGCTTTGGATTAGGCTCATAATAAACATGATTATTCTGAAAACGTTTAACATTCAAAGTACATTTACTCCTGTCTCTAGAGTCCTTGTCCTCTGCTTCAGATAACACCCAATGAGCATTCAATCTCTTAGCTTGTACAGACGTTTGTGAAGAAATAAGATATATTTATACAGTCAAAACTAACATGATTTTAAAAAAATAAATCTTAATGGCAAAATACCTCTTGACTTCTGAGAAGCACAGTTCATTTTTCCAATAGGATGGAAACAAACAGGCATTCATAGATAACAAAACTCTACTGAAATGCCGTAAGTTTAATAAACAACGGAACCTATTTGAAGTGTGAGTCAAGGTATTCACCCCCAGAAAAAAAGGGCACTAGATCCACATAGCCAGCAAAGTCACTTCTGACTTATGCCAACAGGTGATTTGGTTCAAGTTTCAGGGTAAGAAATTTAGGCAAAGATACCCAGCAACATCAGCATCCTCTCACTAATCACACTAGAAGTACTGTGTTAGGGTGCTACTTTGACTTGGAGGAAGAATGTGTTCCTGTGGCAATCTATGGCTAACACTGCATAAAGGGGAGAGGAATGTTTTACTCACTAATAAGTGTAAGTTGAGATTTACTGAAAAGACAGGAAATCCATCAGCATGCACACCTACCAGGTCCATGAGAAATCCATTGTAACAAATCCTTTGGCTCAGTAAGCAGAACACTGAAGATGTCTCGTATGTTAATTCAAGGCAGAATCCTGCAGCAGTAAGAGCCACTCCAGGCTTTGAAGTGTCAGATGTTGCTGAATGATGAATTGGAGGTGACAATATTCTTGCATGGAATTTTCCTACAAGAAAGGTTGTTGGATATTTATCAGCTTCTTAAGTACAAAACTCCTGCATAGAAAAGCTCCCTCTGTATGCTGACCCCTGCTCCTAACCTAACCGAAGCAGGAGATGTTCTCCCTCTGGCTCTCCTAGTGGTTTCTGCCTCTTTTCTTGGCAGCAGCCACCTATTTCTGGCTCTCTGTAACATTTTCCTTTGATGATGTGAGGTCTCGATGATGAGTGTCACAACCCAGGCAAGTCCCCCAGAAAGAGCTAGGCAGGAGAAGTTAATGCATATGAATTTCTGTGGTTCAAAATCTCATTCAACTTTCTTTCTATTGCTCACTTCACATATGTGAATCACAACTCAGAATATTTGGGGTTTTGTCTATTCTACGTCTCCAGTTTCCTTGAGAAAATCTCTTTATCTCCCTGTGCCTTGGTTCTAGCTATTAACTGACAGTAACAACATCCTTTCCACTGAAACCCCCTTTAAAAACTATTCTATTATAACAAATACCTGAGGTATGTAATCTTGAAATCTGAGAAGAAAAACCAAAACATAAATCCATTATATTCACTATAATTAATTTTTGTTATTGGATTTTTTAAAACAAGTTTCATAACTCAACTAGGGACAAGGCAGAACCTGCAGCTGAGCAGTGTGGAAACTCTGCAGAAAGCAGAGCGATGGAAATTGTTATCAACTGCAGAAACAGCTGTGAAACCACCAAGCAGCTGAGTAAAACTTATGAAGCTGCAGAGATGTATGTTGCTAATCTTTTTCAACATTCCCTTCCTATATGTGGATGATTATGGAAGATCATTTCCACCCTGAAGCAGGAGTCCTACGTGGAGACAAGCATAGGTTTATCAGAATAAGTTTGTATAACGATTAACTTTAAGGGCTTTTTCTTTTTTTAACTTATTTTGATCATGCTGCTATTTCATAAACACAAATATTTACAGGCACAAACTGCTGTTGTTCATCTCTAGATGACCCTTGAAATAAGCCTGTGACATAGCTAAAGTATATTTAGCTGATTATTGAAGTTAGCTAATAATAAGAAAGTCTCCTTGCTTATCTCCTTGACTATATTTTTATGCACAGTTAAACTTTTTTCAAAGTTTGGAGGAAAATGCAGGAAAACAAACCCACTGAAACAAAACCAAACATAACTACTTTGGATAAATAATTCAGGTGACATTAAAATGAAAGCAGTCCTATGAAATTATCTTGCAGATAACTTCCATTCATATTACAAGAATTGTAATAACATTTACTTGAATAGCTCTTCCTAGTGCAACCGTGCCCCCTAAGCCACTCTGCTGGCATCATGCTTTGAGAAGATGAACTGCTCTGTCAGGAATTTATTTGTATTTGTCCTTGACTATATCCAGTTCAGGTAATTTTT